CGTAGCCGTCAACACTGAGCAATACTCCGAACAAGGTACAGTGGTAATGAACAATTTATAAGTTTATACTTTCTCTCACCGAAGTTAATTGGGTTTCAAGCCTACCGACTACACGAGGGTCATTAATGCATGTCACCTGTTCACCACCAGTCGAGAATACTCAGTGTATATACACTCAGTGTATATACACAGAGGGATACACACCTTGTATATTTTGTAATACTTATGCGTACTAGAAATTATCCACGAAAAAACTTATGAATAATGGACCTAAAACACTAATTAAAAACTTAGAAATATTAAAAACAATGAAAATAATAATTATATAATAATTATTATTAGTAGTAGTAGTAGTAGTAGTAGTATATTAAGAGCTAAACCCAAAGGAGGTCATACGGCTCCTAGTAATGGAAGGTAATCAGGTGTGATCCAAGGAATGGAATGATAACTCCGTTTGCTTGGATCAATATCCCTACACCGGGATCAAGGTACCCGACATGAAGGCAGACAGTAGAGACGGAGCTCTGTACTGGAAAGTACACTACCCACCATTATTCAATATTTATGAAAGTATACACACTATTTTTAACAATTTGAGAAGCTTATCTACTGTTGTTGATAACTCACAGGTAAGGACCCACAAGAGGTGTGGGGGTAGTGGGGATAGGTGGAGAATAGGGAAGGGAGAGGAGAACAAAAAATGGACGGGGCCAGACCCAATAACCACGGTATTCCGGGACACCAGCGGTATGTTAGATAAACCATACCCCCGGCCGGGAATTGGTGGCCCGGTGGCCTGGTGGCTAAAGCTCCCGCTTCACACACGGAGGGCCCGGGTTCGATTCCCGGCGGGTGGAAACATTCGACACGTTTCCTTACACCTGTTGTCCTGTTCACCTAGCAGCAAATAGGTACCTGGGTGTTAGTCGACTGGTGTGGGTCGCATCCTGGGGGACAAGATTAAGGACCCCAATGGAAATAAGTTAGACAGTCCTCGATGACGCACTGACTTTCTTGGGTTATCCTGGGTGGCTAACCCTCCGGGGTTAAAAATCCGAACGAAATCTTATCTTATCTTAATGAACCCGCGGTCATAGAGTCTCAAAACTCCAGCCCGTCGCGTTAGCCACTAGACCAGCTAGCCACTATAAGATTCATCCAACTAGGTATATTTCTACACCATAGGAAAGTTAGCACAGGCACCTCTGTGACCACAAATGCAAGTTTTTACAGACGAATCTCCAGCTAGCGTGGCCGTGACGAACTCTAGCTCAAGTCCCTTCACTGCCGTCAACATGACTCATGAGTATGTTAGATAAGATTTCGTTCGGGTTTTTAACCCCGTAGGGTTAGCTACCCAGGATAATCCAAGAAAGGCACTTCGTCATCGAAGGACTGTCGGTCTTATTTCCATTGGAGTCCTCAATCTTTTCCCCCAGGATGCAACCCACGCCAGTCGACTAACACCCAGGTACCTACTTGCTTGCTAGGTGAACGGGACAACAGTTGTAAGGAAACACGCCCAATGTTTTCACCCTTGTCGGGGATCGAACCACGGACACTCTGTGTCCGAAACGAGAGCGTTGCCTACCAGGCCACGAAACACCAAAGTCAAAGATTTACTTCCACATGATACAATGTTGTTGTTGTTGATGTTCTTGATTAGCCTGGGTCTCTTCCAGATGGTGACCCGGCCTTGGCTTCCTGTCTCGGGAGTGTCTTGAGACCTATGTCTCCCATGGGAGGAGACACAAGTACCTCCTCATCTCCTGGGATCATCTGTCCCCAGGCCTAGCCCCATTCCCAGCCCTCACGAGGCTCGTAGGGAGAAGCTAGGCCTCTGGTCTGCCATCTGCCCCGCCCCATGGGGGCTCGTGGGAGTGGCACTCTTGTGAGCTGCAGGTGGTAGCAAGCTTCGGCTCTGGTACCTTCCCCGCCCTAAGAGGGCTCTTGGGAGTGGTGTCGCCCCGATCTCCCTCACATGATACAATGTAACAGAGATGAGTGACATTTGACTGAAGATTTCGGGGAAGCTTAAGCTTAACTTGAGACTGCAATGGCAATAATTACTATTTGCATAAACATAAGGACTGTACTAGATGTGGAGATACAGACACCTTGTTAGATTTTTAAAGGACACATGTGCAGCTAATGTGACATTTTATTAGTCCTAAGAGAATATCACATTAGTTGCACACGTGTCTTTTGCCTAACACAGTACATGACTGGTCGGGTTGGGATGAACGGGCCGGACAGCGAGGAGGCCCCAAACTATAGTGGGCAAAGCTAGTAAGTTTATTTAGGCACATATATACACTGGTACAATTATCATACATAGTGTAAATTACCTCGGATAACCTAAAAAAAAAGTCAAAGATACGTATTTCTACTGAGGCTCTTAGGGTTAGGGTGGTTTCGTAGGCAGGATGGTGTTGGTAAAAGGAGGAATTTTGCTTGCTAGGTATAAGGTTTGTCAGGGAAACAAGACAAGTGTTTCCTGACGCGGGTCTTAGTCATATGATGACCAGCAGCTGGAGCTTTTGGTCATCTGACCGAGATCTTTTTGCTTGCCTACACCATATAGGTGTTATATTCAAGAGGTTCTTAATATTTGCATGGACTTTGGAATTTATATTAAAAATATACATTTTTTTTAGATCTATATCTCTCCTTTACATTTATTTTTTCTGTAAATAATTATATTATTATTATTATTATTATTATTATTATTATTATTATTATTATTATTATTATTTTTAATTATTATTTGCAGTTCATTGTTATGGTTTTGCTGCTATTGTAGTATTATTCTTTTTTCATTATATTTCATTCTTGTTATTCCTTATTATATGCACTGAGAGATGTATCTCTCAGTATATATACACAAGAGGTGTGTATATTAGTGTATATACAATGAGTGGTATGTATATCTCCTTATATACTCTGTGAAGCATGTCTCCAAATGTATATACACGTCGGAAGGTGTAAATTTTTCAGTGTATATACACTAAGATGCTTGTATCTCGGTTCATATACACTGAAGGTATATATTTAATTTTTTTTCACTGTGAGATACACACCTCTCAGAGTATATACATACAAAAGTGAGGATCTCTCAGTGTATATACATCTCTCAGTGTATATACATCTCTCAGTATATATACATCTCTCAGTGTATATACATCTCTCAGTGTATATACATCTCTCAGTGTATATACATCTCTCAGTATATATACATCTCTCAGTGTATATGCATCTCTCAGTGTATATACATCTCTGTGTATATACATCTCTCAGTACATATACATCTCTCAGTGTATATACATCTCTCAGTGTATATACATCTCTCAGTGTATATACATATTTCAGTGTATATACATCTCTCAGTGTATATTCACCGAGAGTTTACTTTAATCCCTATTTTAGGGATTAAAGTATTTATGACTGGTGGTGAACAGTTTACATGTAGCCTTAATAACCCTAGTATAGTCCATAGGCCTATTCAGTATAATAATAATAACAACAACAGCAATAATAATAATAATAATAATAATAAAATAATAATAATAATAATAATAATAATAATAATAGCAATAATAATAATAAATTATTATTATCATTATTACTACTATTATAATTAACAAAATATTATTATTACGGGAATCGGTAAGTCACAACACGTATACCTACCTGAAGGAGTATACCTACCTGGAGGGTATTTCTGGGGTCAAATTCCCCCGTGGCTCAAAACACAATGGGATGCAATTAAGTCTGATCCAAGGGAAGAGAAGGAGATAGTTCCAATTTCCTAGGATCAAGAGCCCTTCCCCAGCACCAAGGGCTATAACCCCCCCCCTTGAAGGAAGCCAGTCAGAGCAGCAGACCGGATGGGTTGGTGGTACGTACCCACTGAACCTCCCTGGGCAGACACCTGCTAGACTTATTTAATATATAACCACCTGTGAGTCGCCAAACTTCCATTATTTGGGCTTTACTTTACCGAATATGTGTCATTTATGTTTCGAAATCGCGTAAATTTGATGTGGGATGTAATTCAAGCGAACCTTTCATGGAATACCTGTGGAGATAAGTTATATTGCTTGATTTTTTCTATGTTAAAAAAGAGGTTTGTGTGATATGTGTGTGATCATAAGTCCCTTGTACTCTCAAAGTTATTTTAATAATTTTAGCTTAGGTAAAGAACCTAAATGAAAACTTATTAGGCCTAAGTACTGCTGGTGAAGTTGTTCGATGCTGAGAGTTGTTAGAGGGTGTGTGGGAGGAGGTGGCTGGGTAATGGATGGGTTTTTGGCCTTTTTTATGCTAATTTATCGACTGAGTTCTTCCGTGTACTATTTTAGAATGTATGACCACATAGAATATATATAGTGAGGTAAACAATATTTGATAGAGTCAGGTTTGAGGGATGAGATGCTTTCCTGGTTTATTTTGTGTAGCAGTGTATACTAAAGCTCAAGATGTACATGGAAAAGGCACTATATCTCAGTATGCTTTTTTTCTGAGTGAAATATGCGCAGGTCTTTGTTTTCTGAGTAATGATAGTAATTGAAATTAAACTACCGCCTTTAAGCAACTCTGCTAAATTGATCTTCCCTCTTGTATGCGCGCGTCTGCATCCCAACTTCCCTCTGGGGGTCATATTTAGGCGAGGGAATGAGCAAATAGATATGTTTTGCGGGGTAGGAAGAGTGTGTAGAATATTATAGTTGGTGTGTGAGGGGGGGGACCCGACAGGTAGAGAAAACGAATTATCTACGTGACACAACTCTGAATGAAAACGACATCTTCGATTTTTCCTCTTCTCTAGCGGGTACCACAAACCCTTCTAAAACTCCTACAATAATCCCTTTTCCCCTCCACTTACCATGGATACAGCTTCTTAGAGGCACTGGAACGTATATTACAGTGTGCTTGTGGTGGTTAGTAATTTTTTCTGGAAGTGGGAAAATAAAAAGGCATAATATTCTGGAATATCTATATTAATGGAACAATTACTCTAACTCCAGTGGTGGCCGGACGTGTGATATTACTCGTAGTGTTGTTTTACCTCTCGTACCATGGTATATTGTATGCAGCATCACTCTGAGATTGATGAGTCGCTGGTGTAAGTGAGGAATGCCGTGACAGAGTGCACTAACTAGGCTGTGGCGAGCAGGAAAAAAATGATATAACCAGATTGATTGTTGTGGATTCCGTTGTCAGCACCATTCAAGGTAAATACAAAGGCGTTGTCGCATTTTAAGCCGTACTTTATTAACGACTGGAGCATGTAGAGGTTCTTTAGCGTCCCTGGAGAATGGTGAATGTGTATTTCAAGGACCGTGGCGCTCTGGGAGAGATAAAATACAGTGTTCTCCTCCTCTAGTCTGGTACGCCATTTTGTTTTTGTTAGGCAAAAAGCTGCTGTCGATGGTTGTAAATCTTCAAATATATCCACATTTTCAGGCATTTCATCGTCCTTGCTAGCTACTGATGCCTTCTAGAAAGACTGCTGGAAGCCTAAATGTCACCGTATTAGAAAATTAATGGCTGGGAAGGGGGTAAAACTGAGTAAATATGTGAGCATAGCGGGGCTTGGCAGTGACATGTGGGGGAGGGGCAGGGAGGGGGTCCCGGGGGGGGGTCCCAGCTGTAAACAAAACCACGTGAGCCATAAATTAACCTGTAAATTCAATTATTTTTATTTTTTTTAGTATTACTACTATGAGATATTGGCATTGTGAAGTTCCCACCCCAGTGTCCACCTTTGGTGTACCTGCTTAGGCTGTACTTTTGTCCTAGGTCTACCAAAAAAAATTTCTTAAATTTAAATTTACTCAAGTTATTTTGTCATTGCATCTGCAACATACACAATAATGAAAGCCCATAGGATGCATAGCATTTAGTTACAATTAAACACACTTTAGATAATCTCTACTGGCTTAATAATTTGTAAATTACTTAGGATAACCCAAAACATCAACCGGACGTATTTCTTCATATTTTATAATATAATAATATATTTACTACAAGTACATGTACAAGGCATACAGACCATAGCTGACATCAATGACATACTATTATATAGAAAGCCACTTACGCTGAGCATTTCGGGCAAATTAGGTCAGTTGTGTCCAGGATACAACCCACACCAGTCCACTAAAAACCAGATACCCATTTTAAACTAATGGGTGAACAGGGACAGCAGGTGTCTTAAGGAAACTAGTCCCTATATAGTCCCTATTGTTTTCCAGCCATACCAGAGGAGATTCAAACTCTGGACCTAAGTGTGTGTGCGAGCTGAGTGCGCTAGTGATGAGCAACAGGACACCTTTATCTTAAACATTAAAATGAATTAGTTCCTTTTTTTTTTCCAAAGGGAGTAAGCTTGCTTGATACTTTTTTTTATTACCAGATCCAAACCTAGCTCCTACGCAAATTTTTCTCTTTAAGAGTATTGACTAATAATTTTGTTAAACATCAACTAAGCTAGCTAGCCTTATACAAATATTTTTTTTTATTTTGATAAAGTTAAGAGGAATTACATAGGTAGTTATTTCGGCTTTACATGATAATTAAAATATTAAAAATGGGGTTATATAAGACATTATGAAAACATTAAAGATGACTAAATAAGTCAGTGGTAACATTTATTAAACATACTCTATACATTAGGAAATTAAGCAAGTACACATGCGTGTTTTATGTATTACTAAGCTTATATTACAAAGTTCATGCAGGGCATAATTTGTTTGAAAAGTTATTTTTTTTTTAACATAGACCCCACTAAAATCAGGGAAGGGGTATTGTTTATGAACTTGGATGACCAGCCCTGTGCCGGTGGCAGACTGATGAACCCTGAAATTGGACAGGGCTGGTGAACCCTGAAGTTAGACGGGGCTGGTGAACCCTGAAATTAGACGGGGCTGGTGGACCCTGAAATTGGACGGGGCTGAACCCAGAAAGTAGGCGGAGCTGGCGAACCCTGAAAGTAGGCGGGGCTGGCGAACCCTGAAAGTAGGCGGGGCTGGCGAACCCTGAAAGTAGGCGGGGCTGGCGAACCCTGAAAGTAGGCGGGGCTGGCGAACCCTGAAAGTAGGCGGGGCTGGCGAACCCTGAAATTAGATGGGGCTGGTGAACCCTGAAATTAGATGGGGCTGGTGAGCCCTGAAATTAGACGGGGCTGGTGAGCCCTGAAATTAGACGGGGCTGGTGAGCCCTGAAATTAGACGGGGCTGGCGAACCCTGAAATTAGACGGGGCTGGCGAACCCTGAAATTAGACGGGGCTGGCGAACCCTGAAATTAGACGGGGCTGGCGAACCCTGAAATTAGACGGGGCTGGCGAACCCTGAAATTAGACGGGGCTGGCGAACCCTGAAATTAGACGGGGCTGGCGAACCCTGAAATTAGACGGGGCTGGCGAACCCTGAAATTAGACGGGGCTGGCGAACCCTGAAATTAGACGGGGGCTGGCGAACCCTGAAATTAGACGGGGGCTGGCGAACCCTGAAATTAGACGGGGGCTGGCGAACCCTGAAATTAGACGGGGGCTGGCGAACCCTGAAATTAGACGGGGGCTGGCGAACCCTGAAATTAGACGGGGGCTGGCGAACCCTGAAATTAGACGGGGGCTGGCGAACCCTGAAATTAGACGGGGGCTGGCGAACCCTGAAATTAGACGGGGGCTGGCGAACCCTGAAATTAGACGGGGGCTGGCGAACCCTGAAATTAGACGGGGGCTGGCGAACCCTGAAATTAGACGGGGCTGGCGAACCCTGAAATTAGACGGGGCTGGCGAACCCTGAAATTAGACGGGGCTGGCGAACCCTGAAATTAGACGGGACTGGCGAACCCTGAAAGTAGGCAGGGGCTGGTGAACCCCGAAAGTAGGCGGGGGCTGGTGAACCCCGAAAGTAGGCAGGGCTGGTGAACCCTGAAAGTAGGCAGGGCTGTGCACTGTCAGGGGGGTTGCCAGCCCTGTGTACTGTCAGGGGGGTTGCCAGCCCTGTGTACTGTCAAGGGGGGTCACCAGCCCTGTGTACTGTCAAGGGGGGTTGCCAGCCCCATGTACTGTCAGGGGGGTTGCCAGCCCCATGTACTGTCAGGGGGGTTGCCAGCCCCATGTACTGTCAGGGGGGTTGCCAGCCCTGTGTACTGTCAGGGAGGTCGCCAGCCCTGTGTACTGTCAGAGAGGTCGCCAACCCTGTGTACTGTCGGGGGTCGCCAACCCTGTGTACTGTCAGGGGTCGCCAACCCTGTGTGCTGTCAGGGGGGTCACCAACCCTGTGTACTGTCAGGGGGGTCACCAACCCTGTGTACTGTCAGGGGGGTCACCAACCCTGTGTACTGTCAGGGGGATCGCCAACCCTGTGTACTGTCAGGGGGGTCGCCAACCCTGTGTACTGTCAGGGGGGTCGTCAACCCTGTGTACTGTCAGGGGGGTCGTCAACCCTGTGTACTGTCAGGGGGGTCGCCAACCCTGTGTACTGTCAGGGGGGTCGCCAACCCTGTATACTGTCAGGGGGGTCGCCAACCCTGTGTACTGTCAGGGTTCGCCAACCCTGTGTACTGTCAGGGGGGTCACCAGCATTGTGTACTGTCAGGGGGGTCACCAGCCCTGTGTACTGTCAGGGGGGTCACCAGCCCTGTGTACTGTCAGGGGGGTCGCCAGCCCTGTGTACTGTCAGGGGGGTTGCCAGCCCTGTGTACTGTCAGGGGGGTTGCCAGCCCTGTGTACTGTCAGGGGGGTCACCAACCCTGTGTACTGTCAGGGGGGTCACCAACCCTGTGTACTGTCAGGGGGATCGCCAACCCTGTGTACTGTCAGGGGGGTCGCCAACCCTGTGTACTGTCAGGGGGGTCGTCAACCCTGTGTACTGTCAGGGGGGTCGTCAACCCTGTGTACTGTCAGGGGGGCCACCAACCCTGTGTACTGTCAGGGGGGTCGCCAGGACTGTGTACTTTCAGGGGGTCGCCAGCCCTGTGAACTGTCAGGGGGGTTGTCAGCCCTGTGTACTGTCAGGGGGGTTGCCAGCCCTGTGTACTGTCAGGAGGGTTGCCAACCCTGTGTACTGTCAGGGGGGCCACCAACCCTGTGTACTGTCAGGGGGGTCGCCAGGCCTGTGTACTTTCAGGGGGTCGCCAGCCCTGTGTACTTTTGGGGGTGGTCGCCAGCCCTGTGTACTGTCAGGGGGGGTCGCCAGCCCTGTGTACTGTCAGGGGGGGTCGCCAGCCCTGTGTACTGCCAGGGGGGTTGCCAGCCCTGTGTACTGTCAGGGGGGCCACCAACCCTGTGTACTGTCAGGGGGGTCGCCAAGCCTGTGTACTTTCGGGGGTCGCCAGGCCTGTGTACTTTCAGGGGGTCTCCAGCCCTGTGTACTGTCAGGGGGGGGTCGCCAGCCCTGTGTACTGTCAGGGGGGGTCGCCATCCCTGTGTACTGTCAGGGGGGTCGCCAGTCCTGTGTACTGTCGGGGGAGGGTCGCCAGCCCTGTGTACTGTCGGGGATCGCCAGCCCTGTGTACTGTTGGGGGGGGTCGCCAGCCCAGTGTACTGTCAGGGGGGTCGCCAGCCCTGTGTACTGTCGGGAGGGGGGTTACCAGCCCTGTGTACAGTGGGGGGGTCGCCAGCCCTTTGTACTGTCAGGGGGGATCGCCAGCCCTGTGTACTGTCAGGGGAGATCGCCAGCCCTGTGTACTGTCAGGGGAGGTCGCCAGCCCTGTGTACTGTCAGGGGGGAGATCGCCAGCCCTGTGTACTGTCGGGGGTTGCCAGCCCTGTGTACTGTCAGGGGGGTCGCCAGCCCTGTGTACTGTCAGGGGGGGTCGCCAGCCCTGTGTACTGTCAGGGGGGGTCGCCAGCCCTGTGTACTGTCAGGGGGGGTCGCCAGCCCTGTGTACTGTCAGGGGGGGTCGCCAGCCCTGTGTACTGTCAGGGGGGTCGCCAGCCTGTGTACTGTCAGGGGGGGTCGCCAGCCCTGTGTACTGTCAGGGGGGGTCGCCAGCCCCGTGTACTGTCGGGGGATCGCCAGCCCCGTGTACTGTCGGGGGGATCACCAGCCCTGTGTACTGTCAGGGGGATCGCCAGCCCTGTGTACTGTCAGGGGGGTCGCCAGCCCTGTGTAATGTCAGGGGGTCGCCAGCCCTGTGTACTGTCGGGAGGGGGGTTAACCAGCCCTGTGTACAGTGGGGGGGGTCGCCAGCCCTGTGTACTGTCAGGGGGGATCGCCAGCCCTGTGTTACTGTCAGGGGAGATCGCCAGCCCTGTGTACTGTCAGGGGAGGTCGCCAGCCCTGTGTACTGTCAGGGGGGATCGCCAGTCCTGTGTACTGTCGGGGGTTGCCAGCCCTGTGTACTGTCAGGGGGGTCGCCAGCCCTGTGTACTGTCAGGGGGGGTCGCCAGCCCTGTGTACTGTCAGGGGGGTTCGCCAGCCCTGTGTACTGTCAGGGGGGGTCGCCAGCCCTGTGTACTGTCAGGGGGGGTCGCCAGCCCTGTGTACTGTCAGGGGGGGTCGCCAGCCCCGTGTACTGTCGGGGGGGATCGCCAGCCCCGTGTACTGTCGGGGGGGATCGCCAGCCCTGTGTACTGTCAGGGGGATCGCCAGCCCTGTGTACTGTCAGGGGAGGTCGCCAGCCCTGTGTACTGTCAGGGGGGATCGCCAGCCCTGTGTACTGTCAGGGGGGATCCCCAGCCCTGTGTACTGTCAGGGGAGGTCGCCAGCCCTGTGTACTGTCAGGGGAGGTCGCCAGCCCTGTGTACTGTCAGGGGGGATCGCCAGCCCTGTGTACTGTCAGGGGGGATCGCCAGCCCTGTGTACTGTCAGGGGGGATCGCCAGCCCTGTGTACTGTCAGGGGGGATCGCCAGCCCTGTGTACTGTCAGGGGAGGTCGCCAGCCCTGTGTACTGTCAGAAATCATTTTGGAAACACATGCAGGTTTTTGTCAGTTTTGTATTGAGAGAAGTTTGAACTGTGTGAAGGCCTGTGCTCAGTGACTTATTATTTTGTAGGAAATGTTTTGTTTATTTTTTATTTAAAATCATAAAGTATTAGGAATTTAAGCTCTTTCTTATTATTTTTCAGAATGACTACAGAAAAAAAGGTTAGTTCACTGAACAGTTAATGAAAGGTTAGTTCATTGAACAGTAAATAAAAGGTCAGTTCATTGAGTTTTAGTAGTAAATTCATTTCTTTTTTGACATAAGTGATATGGTGATCAGTGTTGGTTTTTGACTAATAGTGGGTAGCACTGCATTGACATTAAAGATGCCTGTCTACTAACATCTAACAGTGGATCCAACCTACTCGCCTAACTTAATTGTCTGTTCTTACTAATATCTTCTCACCTTTTGTTGTATTAACAAAGAAAAGTCAGCACACAAATGAAGGATTACTTGACAAAACCTAGGCTTTCAGGTTACATTTATTGAGAAATGTTGTAATGAATGTTGGACTCTTCAAAATGCATTAACAGTTTATTGCAGAAAATGTAGGCTGCAATGGTCATGTTATCTTTTAGTGATGAGTGTTTCTTGGCTAAATTTGCCAGATGACTCGCTAGTCTGAAAATTTTATTGTGATCCAGTCATCTGTACAGGGAATAAAAAAAAAAAGTCTGGGAAAAAAATTAATTAGCATTTTTTTCATTGTGCTTACTGTAAGGTGGCGTTATTTGCTTTTTTTCTTTAACATTTTATGAAGTTTACAGAAATGCCTATTGGAAAGTTGTACATTTTGTTTTATTAAAATGTAAGGTGGGTAAGCATGACAAAAGAAAATATCTTATATAGTTATGTAATAAGGCATGGGACCAGTTTCTCCTTAAATTTGGGTAATTAGTCCCATATCACCAGAATACTGTTTGTGATAACACCACACCATTATTATTTCGCTTATTATGTTGATTATGGTACATTACAAGGTCAAATATATTTTAAAAAGCAGCTTAGCTTCTTTCAGATTGAAAATAGAAACTGGTATCATGACCCAACAAAAAAAAAAAAAAAGGGGGGGGAGGGGAAGAGTTAGTACCATAAATAGCAACATAAATAGGGTACATATAAACAGAAATAGAAAGTAATTGAATACCAGCTTCACTTACTGACGAGAATAATGAAGAAACCCATGAGGGCCCATTTACCTCGCGTACGGAGGGCCTATTTACCCCATGTACGGTCAGCTCGGTTGCCTCATAGGTTGTAATAGAGCCCCTGTTTGGTGGAAACAATTTTAGGTTGGTAGGAGCAACCTTTAAATATATGGCATGTCTGTGTAAACTTATAGATTTTGTAGTTTCCTTCATACATTCTGTAGTTTTTTTTTTATTTTTTTTAAGGAAAATTATTCCCAGAAAAAAAGTACCATTAAAAAAAAATTCAAACTTCCTAATTAGAAAATAATTTGTTCCTTAGGATTTAAAATTTAACTCCATATCTGACAAGTAACCGCAACAGTTTTTATCTCGGATAAATCATATTAGTCCTTTTTTAAGATTGGCCCAATTACCCTTTGATGCGTTCAGTAGCTCCATCTTACGGTAGTCTGCAAGTTTGAGTTCTTTTGAAAGTTTTATCTGTTTTACATAGCATATTCAGGTGGTCCACAAAAAAAAATGAATGTTTAGAATTTTACTGTCTCGCCCAATAATGATGATCCACTTGCAGAAAAAAAAAACTGATGTCAGGTTTCAATAATTCTGTGATTCATTTAGGTGTACCCCAATGTCCTCAGACGTTCATCCTCATAAAACGGGGAAAATGAAGTATTGGAAAGGAATTAAAATTTTTCTGAAATGAGAAATAATAATGTATGTACTATTACTATTATTACTACTAATACACTAAATAATATTACAATAGTGCAGTAATAATACTTAATAATAATGCCTGGCTTTGAGTCTTGGAGGTGGTAAGTACAGTGCCTATTACTGTGAAGAAGGGGTGAAGGTGTTGCAGTTTGGTGGGCATCTCAACTGTGGTGTCAACACACTTCTGGCAAGAAAGTGATTGAATGAGTGATGGTAAATGTGATTCCTCTTTTTGGGGGCCACCCTACATCAATAAGAGATAATCTGTATGTTAACAGTAATAATACAAATCCCTCCTTAGAAAAAATGATTGGTATACAGTTCATCATATGGTATACAGTTCAACTTACCCTAAGTAAAAGTGAGGGTACTATGAGTAACTGAAAGAAAAAACTAAGTGTCAGGAGCACAAGATTGTTCAACAGCCTTCCATCACACATAATGGGAATTACCAATAAACCTGCCCACTCCTCCCTAGCTGTTTACAAGAGGGAACTGGATAGATTTCTTAAGTCAGGTCTATGATTCTTACGTTGGACTGGGTGTGACCAGTAACAGCCTGGCTGATCAGGGCCAGATCCACCGGGAAGCTCGGTCATGGATTGGGTCGCAGGGGCATTGACCCCTCCAGAACACCCTCCAGGTGTCCTATCCTGGGGAAAAAGATTGAAGGAACCCAATGGAATTATGACAGTCCTCCATGATTCGCAGAATTTCTTAGGTTATCTTGGGTGGATTTTGTGGATTAAAATAAGGGTCGGATGCAAAAAGTGGGTTATAATAAGTGTTTATGCATCTGGAAAAGTGAGTGTGAATGTGAGTGAGTGTGAATGTGAGTGAGTGTGAATGTGAGTGAGTGTGAATGTGAGTGAGTGTGAATGTGAGTGAGTGTGAATGTGAGTGAGTGTGAATGTGAGTGAGTGTGAATGTGAGTGAGTGTGAATGTGAGTGAGTGTGAATGTGAGTGAGTGTGAATGTGAGTGATGTGGTGAATGTGAGTGAGTTGAATGTGAGTGAGTGTGAATGTGAGTGAGTGTGAATGTGAGTGGTGTGAATGTGAGTGAGTGTGAATGTGAGTGAGTGTGAATTGTGAGGTGAGTGTGAGTGTGAATGATGAGTGTGAATGTGAGTGAGTGTGAATGTGAGTGAGTGTGAATGTGAGTGATGAATGTTGAGTGTGATGGAGTGATGTGATGTGAGTGAGTGTGAATGTGAGTGAGTGTGAATGTGAGTGAGTGTGAATGTGTGAGTGTGAATGTGATGAGTGGAATGTGAGTGTGAATGTGAGTGTGTGAATGTGAGTGAGTGTGAATGTGATGTGAGTGTGAATGTGAGTGAGTGTGAATGTGAGTGATGTGAATGTGAGTGTGAATGAGAGTGGAATGTGAGTGATGTGATGTGAATGTGAGTGTGAATGTGAGTGAGTGTGAATGTGATGTGAGTGTGAATGTGAGTGATGGATGTGATGATGTGATGTGATGAGTGTGAATGTGAGTGTGAATGTGAGTTGTGAGTGGAGTGTGAATGTGTGAATGTGAGTGGAATGAGTGTGTGATGTGAGTGGAGTGTGAGTGTGAGTGAGTGTGAATGTGATGTATGGTGAGTGTGAATGTGAGTGGTGAGTGTGAGTGTGAATGGTGAGTGTGAATGTGTGTGTGAATGTGAGTGAGTGTGAATGTAAAGTGAGTGTGAGTTATGTGAAGTGATGTGAATGTGTGAGTGTGAGTGTGAGTGAGGTGAATGTGAGAGTGTAATGTGAGTGTGAGTAGGTTGAGTGTGAATGTGAGTGTGAATGTGAGTGTGAATGTGAGTGTAAATGTGAGTGTAAATGTGAGCGAGTGTGTGAGCGAGTGTGTGAGCGAGTGTGTGAGCGAGCGTGAGTGAGCGCGTGTGAGCGTGCGTGCGTGAGAGCGAGCGAGAGTGAATGTGTGTGTGTGTGTGTGTGTGTGTGTGTGTGTGTGTGTCCATGTCCCCCCTCACCTAATTGTACTCGCCTAATTGTGGTTGTAAGGGTCGAGACTCCGCTCCTGGCCCCGCCTCTTCACTGAACGCTACTAGGTCCTCTCTCTCCCTGCTCCATGAGCTTTATCATACCTCATCTTAAAGCTTTGTATGGTTCCTGCCTCCACTACCTCACTTGCTATACTATTTCACTTCCTGACTACTCTGAAGAAATACTTCCTAACAGCCCTTTGACTCATCAAAGTCTTGAACTTTCCAAGTGTGACCCCTTGTTTCTCTGTCCCCTCTCTGGAACATCCTGTCTCTGTCCCCTCTCTGGAACATCCTGTCTCTGTCCCCTCTCTGGAACATCCTGTCTCTGTCCATCTTGTCTATTCCATGCAGTATTTTGTATGTCATTATCCTGTCTCCCCTAACCCTCCTGTCCTCCAGTGTCGTCAGGCCGATTTCCCTTAATTAACCTTTCTTCGTAGGACATTTCCCTTGGCTCTGGAACTAACCTTGTCGAAAACCGTTGCACTTTCTCTAATTTCTTGACGTACTTGATCAAGTGTGGGTTCCAAACTGGTGCTGCATAGTCCAGTATGCTCCTGACGTACACGGTGTACAGTGTCCTCAATGATTCCTTACTAAGGTAAGGGAATGCTATTCTCAGGTTTGCCAGGCACCCATATGCTGCAACAGTTATCTTGTTGATGTGTGCTTCTGGAGACTTGCTCGGTGTTATACTCATCCCAAGATCTTTCTCCTTGAGTGAGGTTTGCAGTTTTTGGCTGCCTAGCCTATACTCTGTCTGTGGTCTTCTTTGCCCTTCCCCGATCTTCATGACTTTGCATTTGGCGGGGTTGAATTTGAGAAGTAAGTTGCTGGACCACGTGTTCAGCCTGTCCAAGTCTCTTTGTAGCCCTACCTGATCCTCATCTGATTTAATTCTCTTCATTACCTTCACATCATCTGTGGACAGGGACACTTCTGAGTCTATCCCTTCTATCATGTCATTCACACATACCAAAACTAGCACTGATCCTAGGACTGACCCCTGTGGGACCCCGCTCGTCACAGGCACCCACTGTGATACCTCATCACGTACCATGACTCGTTGTTGTCTCCGTCAGGTATTTTCTGATCCATTGCAGTGCCCTTCCTGTTATGTGCCTCATCCTTCAGCTTCTGCACTAATCTCATATGAGGAACTGTCGAAGGCCTTCCTGCAATCCAGGAAAATGCAGTCAACCCACCCCTCTCTCTTGTAATTCTGTTACTTTATCATAAAACTCCAGAAGGTTTGTAACACAGGATTTGCTTTCCATGAATCTGTGCTGGTTGGTGTTTAT